ATATAACTCAATGCCTAAATTTCACACGAGGCATTCTTATTATATCTAGGATTTTAAGGCGAGGAAAACATACTAGTGTCCGGAGCTGTCTTCATTTGCTGCAATCTTTCAATCTCAGCTCCATCAGATTATTGAGTGCCAATATAGACATCCATGAAGGGAAATTTCCACCACCATAACCCTCAACTGTTAAGCTTCTTATGCCTAAATGAGGCTGCAAGCCTGTCAGCACATTCTTCTTGTTATTTTCATCACTCTATGCAAATACCAAGTTGTTTATTTTTTTTCACACAATTTTGCCTTTTCAGCATCTTCTGTGTCTCACATGCTCAAGTTGGCATATCTTCAATTCTCCTCTTACTTCGTTCATACATCCCATCACTTCCTTTTTATGATTTCACTTTGATTTTCATTTATTTAAAAATAATATAAATTATATTTTAAAATATTATTTAACAATTTAAATTATTGAATTAAAATAATATTTTAATATAATATCAAAACTTTATATTCAAATGATTACGAATTTAAATCTCACTATTTTTATTTATATGATAAAAATTAAATACAAATTAATATAAATTCATATAAATTTTAAGTTTAAAAACCTTTTATTTAAAAGGATATATTAGAAAATAATATAAATTATATTTTAAAATTTCATCTAATAGATTAAACTATTAAATTAAGATAATTCTTTGATATAATATCAAAATTTTAATAATTAAATTGAATATCATAATTCTTATTTATTTAATAAAAATTAAACAATTCACATGCTCAAGTTGGCGTATCTTCAATTCTCCTCTACTTCATTCATACATCCCATCACTTCCCTTTTATAATTTCATTTTGATTTTTATCTATTTAACAATAACATAAATTATATTTTAAAATATTATTTAATAATTTAAATTATTAAATTAAAATAATATTTTAATATGATATCAAAACTTATAATTAAGTAATTACAAATTTAAATCTCACTATTTTTATTTATATAATAAAAATTATACATAAATTAATATAAATTCATATAAATTTTAAATTTAAAAACCTTTTATTTAAAAAGATATGTTAAAAAATAATATAAATTATATTTTAAAACTCCGTCTAATAGATTAAACTATTAAATTAAAATAATTCTTTAATATAATATCAAAACTTTAATAATTAAGTGATTATAAGCTTGAATATCATAATTTTTTTTATTTAATAAAAATTAAACAAAAATTAATACAAATTTGTATAAATTTGAAGCCCCAAACACTTTCACTTAAAAAATATACTACCAAATAATATAAATTATAAATTACATATTAAAATCTCCTCTGAAAATTTAAATTATTAAATACAACTTTAGCTATTATCTTAATAGTAGCAATTAAGATAGGATGTTTCTCGAACATAAAACAAAAATTGACAACGTTTGAAGAAGCTATTGTAGCGAGTAACAATAACTGAACCTTAATGTTTCCAAACAGCAGAGCTTTGTGATGGATTCGGGGGACACTTTGATTTCCGTACTTGAGACATCAAGATATCTTAAATGTTTCATCTTGCAAATTAAATCTGGTAACTCATTAGATTGTCGCGATTTCAGAGCTCTCAAGCTCTTGAATTTCCAATACCGATTTAATACATCAATAACAGTATGCAATACTCTAGCTTCAACCTCTGAAAATGCTAATTCAACATCTGTACAATCTCTAGCTTCTGAAAATGCTAATTCAACATCTGTACAAGAAATGAGATTTAGATGACGAATATGAGACGCACCATCAACAACCGAATCAACCTCCAAAGTTAACGTTTTTGATTTTGAGACCAGTAATGTAAGATCATGCATCTTGGAACTTGTTACGATCTTATACTCATTCCTTTGAACATCTTGGAAAAAGGAATTTGCGAGCGAGTAATTGAAATACTTGTTGCCTATGTCTTCCATCCTCCCATTTGATGGCCAAAAAACCTTTCACCCGTCTAAAGCTGAATCAGCTCTTCCTTTTCAATGTCAAAATCTTTACGAAAAACGTAACAGCAGGCAAAATATTTTTTCAATGTTGGCGATGACAAGTAATCAAAACTTCAGTACACACAAAGCTTTATTTCCATCCAGGGAATCCCAAATTCTACTGCTTAGAATTGACTGCCACTCCTGTGTCTCCTTTTTGCGCAGAGTTCCTCCTAGAAAATTAGCAAGCAATGAAATCCCTCTACATCTCTTTGCAATCTCTTTTCCAATAGACTCCAAGTCTCAAGCTATTGATGTTCCTCCACCCCCACTCTCATTTCGGTTGATAATGGACCAACATTGATCATCTGATAGTCTCCTCGGCTCGTGCTGACTCCCAAGAGAAGTCTCCATCATGCTTGCTACATCCTTACTGCGGGTTGTAACAAAAACAACAACATTCCCATTCTTGCCATAAATTTTGAACAATCCCTCCTTCAAACCATCCCACTTTTGAGCATCTTCATTCCACACATCATCAAGTACTAGAAGAAATGTTTTATTTTGCAGCTCTTTCTTAAGGTTTTCAACTGCATCAAGATTGTTCAACCCACCAGTAGTTTCATCAATCTTTTGCAACATTTCTCCTGAAACCCTAACTTTATTAAAATCATTAGAAACACAAACCCATATTGTTACATAAAAAACGTTTGTCTCCTTAACCTCTTCACAATCCATTTCTGCTATATTAATCTTTCCAAGACCTACCATACCCACAGTGGAAACAACAGACAGAACTTGTTGATCAATCGAGCCAATCAACAATTTCATGACTTTAGTGACATCATCCTCCCTTCCTATCACAACTACTGAGCTGTCAAGGGAGGAGTCTGTCTCTCTGTCCCAGCTGATTTCAGGAGCTCTATCTACATGTTGTAGAGATGTATTTCCAAGCCCATATCCAGTTGCAAGTTTCTGAATTTCATCCAGGGCTCCACTGATCTTCTTAACTTTTTGACCCATATTCAAACGGAAAGCAACAGAGTTGTGGATTGAAACAAAGTCACGTACCCTTCCCTTCTGCTGGTCTTTGCGAAGAACATCACAAGCAAACTCATCTAGAATATCTTCAGCATCATAAGCTACATCTTGTAGCATCTCCAGCCAAAGATTCACAGACTCGTCTGTTACTGGCCTTCTGGCTACATCTTGAAGCACAGCTTTGATCATGGTTGAGGACTGGTTGAGCTTTTGCAGATGTCCCTCCAATCCCCAAGCAAATCTGATCCCTTCAGCAGCTATGGAACTCACCCTCGTAAAAGTCTCCTCCATGCCAAACGTCAAAAGAAACTCTGCAGCCATTTTTTCTTGTTTTCTTTGGGAAATCAAAGAAGAAATATTGGCCACCAGAGAGAGAAATATGCTCTGAAATATTAAAGATAAAATGAAGAGTGCTTTGGAATATCTGCGCATAGTTGGATGAGTGTCCCTATAATAATTAATTGATTGATGGCAGCGGCAGCATCTTGCCATCTTCCACGAAACCACAACAGACAATTTGTCAAGTTTGTCGGCATCGTATTTAGGATAACTTTTTGTAGCTTTTTATTTATTTACATTTTTCACAAATTTCTTACTAGAAAGCTACGGACCGGAATATTGATATTCACTATGCTACGAAGGTATACTAACTCTTTCTATATATATATATATATATATATATATATATATATATAATAGTTAATTAGATTTGATTTGGTTATAATAATTAATTAAAAAAATAAATTAGATAATCAATAAAAATATAATTTTATTAAAAAGTCAATACAATATATTTTAAAAAATATTAAAATAACACCATATTAAATTGACTCAAATCAAGAAAGTGTTTGATTTGAAAGTATAGTGGTTTTTTTTTCTAACCCATCTTAAAAGCAAGTTTTTTTTTTTTTGTGTTTTTAAGCTGTAATTTATACTTTAAAAAAGTTATATCTTTGGAAAAAAATACCATATCTCCAAGCAAAATATATATTAAACCTACAACCAAGATCATAACACTATAATAACTTCTTATTATAAAATAAATTATAAAAAATAATTTTTTGAATAGTTTAATATTAAATAATAAAATTAAAAAAATCAATTAAAAAAATTCGAATTAACTCAAGTTAAAGTGACTTGAATCATAAGTTCAAAATAACTATATAAAAAACAAATTTAAACAAACTATGTAACTCAATTCTCAATAAATCAAAAATTAAATATTAAATTTTTAAAACAATTCAATTAAAAAAATAAAAAAATAACTAATATTAATCCGAGCTAACACGTAAAACTTATAACATAATAACCTCTTAAAAAATAAATTAAATAACAATCTAAATTAACTCATATTAACCTACCAAACTCATAACTCGGGTTATGAAACTAAAATAATTATATAAAAAACAAATTAAGATATAAAAATAACTTAAAATAAATTACAAAGCTACAAATTCCTAAACTAAATGTCAAATAATAAAAATAAAGTTGAAATAAAAATATATATTAAAAAAATTATTAAAGTATAGTAATTTATAAGATGGTGTAAAATAAAGTCATCACCTTAATGTTTTGTTAGTGTTTAGAAATGTAGTCCAAAATTTTAAATTATTATGATATATTAATATTAAAAATAATTTTTTAAAAATAAAAAATATTATTTTAATATATATATTTTTTAAAAAAAAATATTTCAAACCATAAGAAATATTATATTCTCAAAACCAGTCATATTCTCGAGGCCGAACATCGACCCACGCTACGCCATAAAATTATATGACAACCATTCTAAAGACCCCACTTGCATATTTGGGCTCTCTATTTTCTAGCTCGAATGACAATGAGAAATCCAATAAGCATACTGTTGAGCAAAGTCTTCAAATGTAGCTAGCAAGCTCCCTTGATCGATGAGAAAACGAGGGTAGTTTATCTGAAAAGTTCATATCAGAACTCCAGACGAACACAATTATTGAACTATTGATTTCTGTAGATATCGAGCTGCGGATATTGAAGGCTGTTAAGACTGCTTTACTGAGGAGAGCTAAAAACATGGCAATAATTACACTCAACAGCAAAATTATTTCTGTAACACTATCGTTTTTCTTAATTCATTGCACAAATGATTAGGTGTCTGAGAGGTCAACAAAACATCTAAAGTGTATCCTACTGGAAGTTCAAAAAATCAACAGATGCAACACCACCATGTCTGTATGCTTCCCCCACCAATTTTCAACATCTCTTGCACAAGTGCACGACTTTGGTTATATGCCCCACCTTCTGTAATGAATGAATCACACAACACTGAATGCTGACTGTATGGTAGATGACACTCGAGATGCAATGGTCTGAGATGCGAACTGCTGGAACTGCTTCTTAGCATCTAAAAGAAGGAAGAATAATTTCACATCCTTTTCTCACATTTATCAAAACAATAAATAGAATGACCTAAGGAGGATTAGGCAATAGACCCAAGTGATCAATGCTATGTAAACAGTTAAGTTGTAAGGAATACTTTTAGCAGCAAATGAAATAGAGTTTGCGATAAAAATTATACAGTATCAGCACATGCACAGAGTAAATTTATCCAGACTTACAGCAATTAGTAAGGTTAATCAATGTTTTGAAACAGTTAAGTTGCAAGAAATACTTTTAGCAGGAAATGCAATAGAGTTTGCATAATAATTCTATAGTATAAGTTCAAGCACAAAGTAAAATTATCCAGACTTGCAGCAATTAGTAAGGTTACCACTAAAAAAGCAATGAATCTGCAATCATTCAACTTGTTTTGTTTTCTCATCCCTCACACACTTGCCTAGAATATTAAAGGAGGTTATATTATCTGAATAGCAAAAGAATTAAAAACTTTTTCAGCTCAAACTCTTAACTTAATTGATTTTGAATCGTCCATGGCAGAACAGCTTACAAGGCCACTGACATCACCATGTGGTTATTGGGAAACTGATAGGTTTATCTAGTAGTGTGTTTTGTAGCGGAGCTGTCACTTGGTGGGAAACCCACTAGAGCGTTGCTGTCTATCATGGCATTTTATATAGAATACGCTACTGATTAATCAAACCATAGTGTGAAACCCACTAGAGCGTTGCTGTCTATCATGGCATTTTATATAGAATACGCTACTGATTAATCAAACCATAGTGTGAAACCCACTAGAGCGTTGCTGTCTATCATGGCATTTTATCTAGTGGGAAACCCACTAGAGAGATGCTGTCTATCATGGCATTTAATATAGAATACGCTACTGATTAATCAAACCATAGTGTGCTGTATCACGGGCTCAACATAGTCCTTTAAGGCTGAGTCTGATTTATTTGACACAAACTGAAACCTTAAGTTTTCATTATCCATGTCTACTTCCCACCACTGGAAATATATGGATAAGAAGAATCCCCAATCTAATGGACAGTCTCCAGGACAACATTTAAGCAAATGATACAATCTCAGAAAACCAATAAAATGTTGTTTGCTCACCTTTGCGACATTTGGTGAAGCCAACAATGTTTGCAATGCTGAGGGTCAAACATACTCCAACAATGAGGCAATAATCTGCTTGGAACCTTATGAGAGAGAAAATTCCTAGCACAATCCAGGCGACCGCCTACAAAGTTGAAGGCAAATAATAAATAACATTCAAATGTAGAAAAGAGAGGAAAACAGAAGAAAAGTTTATATCTGAATTTGAACATCATCAGGAGTGCAAACAACAACCGAAAAAGACCATTCCACATCAATTTATAGACATTCTTCAATCAGGATATTATAAAATAGAAATGAGTAGTTCACTTAAAATTAGCTGCAAACTATATTGCATTTCTTTAGTTCCTGACAAGTATTCTGTATACACCCAAGACCCAACCTTTTTACAAATATGATATGCTGAGGATATGATTTAGTGAGTAACAAACGAAATCAAATCCTATGTACTTACTGTTATGTAAAGAGTCCACCAGAACAGCCATGAGCCTTTCTTGTTCATTCGGGCTAATGACTAATGCCAAAAAAAAGATAAAAATGGATGAGATTCAATTTCAATATCAAAAATCCTTATGAAATTGAGAAGGGCCAGTGCACAATGAGTACATATACAATCGAGCCAGAGTTTTGAAACTGACCTCTTGGTCAAGGGATTCAAATTTCCACACACTCTCACCCAGATCATTTATCTCATTCCACCACCTAAGGCCAACTAGAATCCGACCGCTCACATTCTTAACCACCCAAAAATCAAGAGCAGCAAGAAGCACAGTCACCACAAAAATGATGACAAAGCTATTAAAAAAAAGAGCAGAGAGTATGTAAAATGCCAAAGCTCCTGCCTGCAGAAAAAAGAAACATAAGAATATTGTCTTGTTCTATTTAAGTTAAATCAAAAGAGCTAAACTTGTAAACACAAATTGCATGTCACATACCTTGAAGAGAACATGAAAGAAACATGTCTTTGGATTGGCATAATTTTCACCAGGGGGCTGTCAAGAAGAGTTAAACATAAATTGTTCGTGCAGAAAAAAAAAATTTAATCAAATGCCATTCAGGATTTCCACTGCATATATTTAACACTATTCCCATCTAATAGAACTTAAACAACAAAGGGATAACATGCTTAAAGAAGCGCTATACTCTCTCATTGCAAACTTCATAAATTCACTCCTTATCATTAGACACTGAAAGGAATCACCGAAAGGAATCTCAGGATTCAAAAATTATATAGAAAATATATTCTATAAACTTTGAACTGTCTGCATAAATTGAAGCTCTTAATCATTGTCTCTACTGCATACTATATATCCTTCATGAACACAAGGAAAACAAAAGCAACATCCCAACTGAGTTTCTACTGAAATGATTCAGTTGATTGAAAACAAACTAAATATCTCATCTGGGTTTCCATTAAAATGATTTAATGCATTAAAAACAAACTCGAAATCCCAATCGGACATCAATTAAAATGACTAAAAGCAATGAAAACAAATACCGCAACCATTGAAAACAAGCACAACATCTCGTTTGGATTTCCAACAAAATCACTTAATGTAACAAAAGGAAAGCTCAAAATCCCAAATCAGCTTCTATTAAAATGAAAAAAAGCAACCAGTATCGCAACCATGCGACTAAAACGATTCAACACGTGAAAAGAAGAAGAAGCAACATCTCATTCAGGTTTCAATCAAAATTCAATGCAACAAAAACAAGCTCAAAATCCCAAATGGGTTTCCATAAAACCGAATAAACCATTAAAAAAAAACCCAATTTCCCAATTTGTTTTTCATTAAATGCAACAAAAATTGCACCTTGACATTGCCTTTTTCTTCCTCGAAACCGACCCACATGAGACTAACATTGCCTCCCCATAAAAAATCTTGGCTTGACAACTCAAAACCAATCACATATGCACTTAATAGTCCAATTAATTGTAAAGATGATCATATTTCTAAAAAAAAAATCCAAGCTCAAAATCTCCAACCAAAAAGCAGATCTAATAAACAGTCCAAATTTTTGGATAAATTACAAAATTAATCGAGCCCCATAATTATATTCAACAGAAAGCATTGATTTTTTGGAGAAATTGAAGAGAAAGACGGCGACTTGACTCACCTGGCTAGGATCCATTTTAGAGCTTCTCTTCTTTTCGATTGCTTTCAATTGGTTGTGTTGATTTAGGAGAAATTTTCTGTTAGGGACCTTTTTGTTATTGTATTCCTATAGAGTTAATTCCTCATATTTATGAATTGGTCCTTTTAGTTTTACAAAGTCACTCTATCCACCCAAATTTCTTTTTTTTTTCTTTTTCGTTTAATTTTAACAGTCAAAATATTTTATGAAAGTTTTTTCATACCATTAGTTTTGAAAAAATCTCAAATGGACATCCAATTTTTTTTTCCTTAAAAAAACATCATTTTAGAATTCATCAGAGTTAACCCATGACAATAGCCTAAGCTTTAAGCTAAGCCAGATCTCGGTCTAGTCTGACTAATATGCCGACTATGAAGTTAAAGGGAAAGTGTAACTTATTTTATTCAGTCCTTGGATTTTAAATCTAATTACAACTTAATCCTTCATGTTTTAAAAACCTATAATTTCATTCTTAGTTCTTGTTGACTCTCGTCTTATTAAAACATCTTTGGTTCCATTTCTATCTAAGAATTTAAATTTTACAATGTTACAATTTGAATTTAAAAAAAAACTACAAAATTTTTAATAATTTCAATTCCCAGCAAGAGTCAATTTAGGGAGTAACTTATACGTTTTCAAACAAAAAAAGACCATGTTGTAAATCGGTTCAGAATCTAGGGTCTAAAGAACAGTAATAGTTCACTCAAAGAGGAAACAGGAGGTGGTAATGTTGTACTTGAATGAGAGGCTATGGAAGATGGATATAAGCAAAAGTGAGGTGGATGATGGGATCATTGTCTTATCCTAAATTGTTAGAAACCAAGAAAAAATTAAGTCAGAAATAAAACAAAGATGAAGCAGAGCCAGAAACTTTCAAATTTCTGTTTGAACATACTTGAAAAGGCAAAGAGAGGATAGTGATTGAGACTAGAGAGGTAAGCATAACATGGCTAGGTTGGTGGCTGTGCAGCAGCAAACTCAGCCTTCTTTATCTCTTCTACCTTCCTCTCTTTCTGACTTCAATGGCACTAGACTCCACTCTCAAGTCCAGGTCTGTCTTCCAGTATTTCTGCATGGCAGTCCGTCTCTTTATTTGCTTATAGTTAGTCCATGTGTCAATAGTTGTGTACTTTCTTGCAGTGTAAAAGAAGGGCATGGCAGACAAAGGGAGCTTTACAAGTTTCAGCATCAAGTTCCAAGAACATTCTTATAATGGGAGGCACTAGATTTATTGGTGTGTTTTTGTCTAGACTTCTTGTCAAAGAGGGTCATCAGGTAGATCACTTACTATTACCATTTTCTCTTATTTTGTCTCTCCTTTGAATGGAATAACTTCAGAGGTTCTTTAAAATCTTGGCAGGTGACGTTGTTTACTAGAGGTAAAGCACCAATTACACAACAATTGCCAGGTTAATCAGACCAGGATTGTGCTGAATTTTCTTCCAAGGTATTTATGAGCTCAAAGGGCATGAGAACTTGCTTCTTATTAGTTTTCTATAAAGAAATGAAGTACTAGTGTTGGACTCAATAGGCCAAAAACTTTGTTGTTGATCATGATTTTCCAGGTCTTGCATTTGAAAGGAGACAGGAAAGATTTTGAATTTGTGAAAACTAGTCTTGCTGCAAAAGGCTTTGATGTTGTCTATGATATAAATGGTATGCAAATGTCTTATTGCTGCATCCCTTTCTGGCACAATATTTTGCTCTATTCATCTGATGCTGATCTTCCCTTTTCGATAAATTTTTAGGCCGTGAAGCAGTTGAAGTTGAACCTATACTGGACGCTCTGCCAAAGCTAGAACAGTAAGCTCTCAACAGTGTATTGATGATTTTGTTTATAATTCTAATATCCATGTGTATGATCATTTCATTGTTAGCTTTGCCTTCAGCTGTTTCCGTGGCACTTTTTTCGAATTTCGTTGGGCGTTTGACTCTTGTTATTGTCGATTAAATTCCTCAGATCTTGATAGCTTCCATGCTTCTCAATCAAAACCACATTTTCTTTTTATCTTCAATGCAATTAGTTGATTCAGCTTATCTTCAACGTAACACGGAGGAAGTGCAGTATTTCAAAGAAAGTCATTAAACTTGGTCTGACCTGAAGGTGAACCCGTGACTTATCGACCTAAAACATGATCTAAGTCGGATTTTATATTAAACCAGATAGGAGTTGTTTTGTCAAACCCCATACGGCTTAAAACCTGCATTAGATCTAGATTGATTTAAAAAAAAATTATGTTAATTGGAATTTAAAAAAAATAAATTCAAATAATGCTGTTTTGGATTGACTGAGGTCAATCCATAACCAATGCCTTTGACTGGGTCGTGTGCCAAGCTAGGTTTAATAACATTGTTTTGAGTTGCGATCCTGCATGCATTTCGGTTCTTCTGCAGAAATTCAACAGAGAAACTGTTCGAGAAACATGCTTAAACCATGGCTTTCCCTTTTCTATTTAAACATCATGCGTGCGAGATTCGATCAGTTATGATTAGTTTACAAGAAATCAGGAAACTCCGCAGTCTATCTAGCTTTTCAATAATTGCTGCTGTCTTTGATAATCTGAAGTTCTGTTGATTCTCAGGTTCATATACTGCTCTTCAGCTGGAGTTTACCTCAAATCTGATCTTTTACCACACAGCGAGGTATGCCTTATAGCATTTTCTTTTTCTCAATCTTCTAGTAACTATCTCTTCTAACCAGATAATGTCTGGTTACAGAAAGATCCAGTTGATCCAAAGAGCAGGGACAAGGGAAAGCTTGAGACAGAGAGCTTATTAGAATCAAAGGGTGTTAACTGGACTTCTATAAGACCTGTCTACATCTATGGGCCCTTAAACTACAACCCTGTTGAAGAGTGGTTCTTTCACCGGTTGAAAGCAGGCCGCCCGATTCCAATTCCCAACTCGGGAATTCAAATAACCCAACTTGGTCATGTAAAGGTGAGCAAATCTTTGATTCCATCATGAGTCTCATTATTTCTGAAAGCAACTTTGGCATGAGTAATATGAAAGCAAGTTTCTGGCATGATGAGTTCAAAATTCCCAGGACTTGGCGAAGGCTTTCGTTGAGGTTCTTGGTAATGACAAAGCCAGCCAGCAAGTATTTAACATATCAGGAGAGAAGTATGTCACTTTTGATGGATTAGCAAGGGCTTGTGCAAAGGTGATTCTGGATCATGTATTGCTGAATATATGCTAGACAGTTGAAGTTTTATAGCTCTTTTGGTAACTTTTTCGCTGAATTAACATATCCGACTGTATCTTCCGATCTTTTTCTCTCTCAGGCTGCTGGGTTCCCAGAACCTGATATCGTTCACTATAACCCCAAAGAGTTCGACTTCGGGAAAAAGAAGGCTTTTCCATTCCGAGATCAGGTAATTTCTGACAGAATTTGCTGCCACCACCAATTAACATCAGTATATTAAAACGTGTTAAAAACAAATTTCTTTTGTGTTTCATGCAGCATTTCTTTGCATCGATCGACAAAGCACGGCATGTTCTTGGATGGGAACCTGAATTCGACCTCGTGGAAGGTCTTGCAGATTCATACAACCTGGACTTTGGCAGGGGAACGTACAGGAAAGAGGCTGATTTCTCCACTGATGACTTGATTCTAGGCAAGAGCCTTGTTCTTCAGGCTTAGATCATTCATCCTATTTTCTTCACCTTTTGTTATAATTTTTTTCTTCTTTCATCCTCTATGTATTTTATTTGTTTCCAAAATCCACACACTAGATCAACAATTATTCACCAAATTTTACTATTAGAAGCTTCTTGTAAATGAGAATTGGACCAATTCTCAATCTTGTTTTTGTTTTTGTCCAGCCAATTTTGTTCCACTCCCTTCGAGGAATTAATAAAGAGTGAGAGCTAAGAAGCGATTCCATGTGTGCTTAATAAGTTGATTAGTGGTTTGAGAATCCTCAACTGTTACCATAATCCATGATTGCAAGAATCAGTTACCTGATTCTCAAACAGATTCAACTACCGGAAGCTTAAACAACAGAAACATTGGACTACCTGAAGGTTAAACAACAGAAACGTTGGACCATTGCATAATGACAGTGAAGCTAACCACCTTAGTTAAAAATAATGGGAGAAGGTGTAGTCATTCTTTTACACCTTAGTCAAAAATTGTGGGAGAAGGTGTAGCCATCTTAGTCAAAAAATTGTATGCACCAAATTGGTGCTATTTGCCTAACCCCTTGTCTTTAAGAAAAATCAAAATCTCTACATTTAAAAATAAAGAAAATTCAAAATTAAATTAGAAAAATCAAAATCTCTACACAGATTTTAAAAATAAAGAAAATTCAAAATTAAATAGAAAAATAATAAAAATATTTTCTAGACCTAATTTGAAGGTTTTCCCGATCTTAACTGATTACAATCAACCAGTTTATTATAACACTAGGACTGAATGAGCTTAAGATAATAGTTAGATTAAAAATTATAACTGTTTTTTATCATATAGACATGAGCAAACCTCTAACCCAAATACACATATATGCTATGCTTTCCTTATAATCTCCGATCTTAACTGATTACAATCAACCAGTCTATTATAACACTAGGACTGATTGAGCTTAAGATAATAGTTAGATAAAAAATTATACCTGTTTTTTACATATAGACATGAGCAAACCTCTAATCCAAACACACATATATGCTATGCTTTCCTTATAATCCAAGTACAATAGATACATACTGATGTTGGCTTGTCTGCTCCTAAAAATTATGCAATTGTTTAGTTTAATACAAAAACATGATCACTATTACATAGCATGCATACTTATAAATCAAATTAAAGTACTTATATATGAAATTAATTGGTATGAAATTTAAACTAATAT